GATCTCTGTGAGTTCGAGGCCAGCCTGGTCTACAGAGTGAGATTCAGGACAGGTACCAAAACAACACAGAGAAACCCTGTCTCGAAAAACAAACAAACAAACAAAAAGAATTAGCAAGGTGCAGAACAGCCTGGCCTATGTCAACATGATAAATTTCCTTTATTAAAATAAAACGAACAAAAAAAGCTTGATTCTTCTCAGTCAATCTAATGGTTAATTATACATAAGAGAGAAAGCCTAAAAGCTTGTCTTTGTAGCTAAAAATCTAAGCAGGGTTGAACAACTTCCTATACAGGAAAGCTACTAGCGAATTAATGAACTAAAGCTTCCAAATTTTCCTGAGTTCCTAGAGTGAAAGACAGGCAAACATTTCACTATGCCTTGGTTATAGGCATTTATCTCCAAAAAAGATTAACCAAGAATATGATCTGATTATGAAATACAGCCAGAACTCACGATGAACAACATTTCTGCGAGGAACTTCTTTTTAGAAGTTCTCAGGAACTAAAAGTCTAAAACAGCAGCAGTCAGATGTGATTGGTCTGGAAAAATATGCAAGTAGGTCTTTGAAGATGGCTTCTCAGATTAAAAACAGGAGCCCGATTTCTTTGTCCCCTTTGATCCTGTAGACTTGCCATCATCTGTGCTTGCAGATTTCTGAGGGCTCGAGGAGAGCGATGCCCGCCTGTACCCCAGCCAGCACCTTATCAGTATTGCTGTAAGAAGTGGGACTCAAGAGCCAAGATCTGTAAACATTCCACCAAGTACCTCTAACAGGATGGCCCCCCAGAGCCCTGTGGGGGTAGCCACGAGCTCACAATGTCCCTGCACCCTGTTCACTATTGCCTGGTTAATTTTGATATAAACCTGATATGCTTATGGTGCCTGAATATTTATTAAAATTAAACCTCTCAAAGCATTTGCTGTGTTTGTTGTCCGAATGACGTTGATTCCCTCAGACTCTGGGCTGGCAAGGGAGGCCATAGCCCACTCTGAGGAGCAGGGCCCTGCACAGTGCTGTAAGTTCACCCAGGCATTTAGTTCTTAATAATTGTTTTTGTTAAGCCAGTCCGTGCTCTTATGACCAATATTCACAAAAGGCAACAAAATACCCAAACTCAGCATTCTTTGATTTGCCTACTTAGGTAGGAGGGCACATTATCAAGCAACTTTTCTGGATTTCAAACCATGATTACAGTTTTTAATTATTTTAGGAACTATAGCCTGGTTATCAAATAATTCTCTTAGACATACACAGAATTTTCTCATACCCAAACAATTAAGAGACAGCTGTAAAACTTGGCAGTCAACACTGGTTTTGAACATTTCATTAACTTCTGTTATTTATGGGGAAGCTAGACCCAGCCTCCTGCATGTGTTTTAATTACAGAGCACAGAAAGGACTGACCTCAGAAAGTGCCCCCCCAGAAGATAGTTGTGACCCATTCCCTGGAAGAGAGCAGGGCTTCAAAGACTGTGCAGTTCCATGTTCCCTGTCCCCTTCCGGGTGGCTCCCTTCTGTGAATGGTAAAAAAAGCCTGGCAAATCGGAGGCACAACTCAGCTTCCTGCCCCCAGAACTGGCATTGTGAACGGAAGGTGTTTGAGACTCCTCACAGCTAGTCTTGTGCCAGTTCTGAGAGTTATTGCCTGCACTGGGGCCTTCTCCCCAGCTCACCTTCCAAGAAACTGCTGAGACCAGAGCTCTCTGGGTGTGTGACGCTCCTCATTGTTCTGGACACTTCTGTTTTCAATTGTTGGTGCATAGTCCTCCCTTTCGTGGTTCTGTGATTTTATTTTCTTGTTTGGTGGTATAAAGGGCTTTTTCATCTTGTAGTTTTGTGGGAACTTGTATGGCTTGGGTTGGTAGAAGAGACACTCTGTCCCTTGGGGATTTAGAGTCCCTGACCCACAAGAGGGAAGTCAGGAAGCATCTGCCTGGTGCTCAGGAGGAAACATCTAGGTGACACAGATTGCCAGCCTCCTTCAAAGCTGAGGATGGTTTCTACAAAGAACATGGAAGTTTAAACTTGATGTTCACATTTGAATGCTCGTGTGTTTTGCATGTTTAGGGATTCATTGAGCTAGGCTCTCCTGTGGTTGCTGTTTTGTTAATGTTTTACTTTCATAAAAAAGGCCAGTCATGTTAGTATGTTCTTTAATACCAGCACTAGGGTGGCAGAGGCGGGCAGATCTCGGTGAGTTCAAAGACCAGTCTGGTCTACATAGTGAGCTTGCCAGGCAAGCCAAAGCTACATAGTGAGACCACCCTCTGCCCCCAGCAAAACAACTACACCACAAAAATAGGGACCCGCCACATGCATATCTTCACTTAAAGTGTTTAGCTCTGTGTGTCTCACGGACACCACTGTTACCGTAATGTTAGGGCTAAGGACACACAAAATATGATTGAATAGTCTACCCACAATATACCCCTTTGGAATATTTTCAGCTGGTTATCCTGAGAAGTTGCAGATAGGGGAAGCTCTGAAAAGGAATTTTCATCTATAAGGGAAGGAAAATTGTGTTAATAATTCCCTATATCAGGACGAGGGATACCCTGAATGATTTTATGCCTGGAGAGGCCACAGAACCAGAGAACCTTTATTCCCTATGCATTTCCTGCCTACTTTCCCATAACATGTCATTACCCCCACCCCAAACCCCTGTTCTCCATAGCTCAGGGTGCTGCATGGGCTTCTGACATCTGCTCCCTCTCTGATTCTCCTATTTTTCTGAGACTCTCATGACTGTGCATAATTAAATATAATTTCGCTCTTTTTAATCTATCTTTTGTCAGTTTAATTCATAGGCTAGGAAAGAGCTAGGGAGGCAAAGGAAATCCATCTTCCGTTCCTACATCTGTGTGATAGATTCCGCCTCCGCACACTGTTGCTTCCGTGTGGCAGTATTCAGAATGAGTCTCTGAGCATCTCTGCTGACATGCTGCCTGTAAGAAAAGGAGGCCCCGGTGCTTTGAATTCAGACACTAGTTCCAACATTCTTGGTCAGGTAGCACACCCCCATCGAAGTCCAGCCCCTCTGATGGTTTCAAACAGAGCCGTTCAAGTGATTGCCTCATAGCCTGAGTGCACCGTGGAAGAACACGCTTTCTAGTATTTCTTTGTGGTACTCAGTATGAACACTCCCTGTACGACTGAGCTGTTCCTGCAGCCTGAAAACATTGTGAATTAAGAATTTGGAACTGACAGTCTGCTTTGATTACGCTTGTTACATGTTGTTCATTCAGTGTTCGTAGCTCTGCTTTCTCCTGAACCTGAGAACTAGTTGGGACTCTGTATGTTGAGGAGGCTTTGGACTGGGTACCACTTTTCAAGACTGCCTAGCGTAGAGATGGGATGGAGTAAAGGTAGGAGGGCTTTGTCATCTTTTCTTAAAAGCCACCTCTCTATTATTACCAGGAAGAAATAAAAGTAACTTAGTGAGTGGGAGGAAGCAAAGTCACTGTGTGATTCTTGTTTTGAGATGAGCTCTTACTGTGTAGCTCAGGCTGGCCCCAAATTATCATCCTTCCTGCCTCAGCCTCCTGTGTGCGAGGATTACAGATGTGTACAACCACTCTAAGCTGGATCCCAGAAAGGGAGAACTGGGATTCTCTGCCAGGGAGAACCCCATCATGAGGAAAACAGCTACCTCATACCTGCTTTTAGATGCTTATGAGAGGGGCAAGCTTCACGCTTCTCTGCTCCCTGCTTTCTCACTTTTCTTGGTTAGCAGGTGTCTTCTGGATGCCAGTCTGGAATCTTCTCACACACAGTTCTGTCCCAGTTCCCACACTTAACGTAAGATGGTATACTTCCCCTAGAATCCCATCTTCTCCCCGGGCGTTGGCCTATTTCATTCCCGGCCCTGTGGACACGTCCCTGTTTCTTCCACCAGGGCTGGGCTGCCTGTCCTGAGCAGCTTCTTCCTCCACACCTGGCTTTAGTGGCTAGATCTGGCAGGCAACTCTCACCTAGTCGGAAAGAGCAAGAAAAGTTACACAAACGCATTCTGTTTATAAATGATTCTTCCCTGGGATACAGAAGTGCGTGAGTTCAGATGCCTCAAGAGGCCACACACTCGTCCCTTTCTCTTTGGGTCATGATGCTATAGAAAAATATGTGTCACCCCCCCCCCCAACATCCTAGAGCTAGTAATTATTCTAGAGGAGTAACAGCTGAGGGGTGACACTGGCTGGTTTATAAGATTAGCTAACACTACAAATGATACGCTGTAAATGAAAATGAGAAGGAATGAGCCTGTGGGAAGGCGGCATGGGCTGTGTTCCTAAGTGTTTTTTTCCTCAGGTCTAGTGAGGATTTTAATCTATAGTACTGCTCATTCTTAGTGTCCTAATAAAAGCTTATAAAACAGCTATACGACCACCTGAAAGCCCAGAGTAATTCTGGCATGGTGCTAAACTGGAGCATCATCCAAGAATCGGAAGTACCACATCTTTTACTCTATTGTAATTTGGTTTCCTCCATCATGGGGGAACTAGCTCTTAGTCAGCATGACTTTTTGAAAGTAGACGCTGTGTATCTGTCGGCTCCACTCAGGTCACATGGGGGTTCTCTTGACACTCAGAACGAAATTGGAATTCCTCTTCAGCTTACCCCAGGCGCCTTGCTCTCCCCTGCTGAGCACTGTCCAGCTGAAATGGCCTCTCTGGTATTCTTCCCAGGCATTAATTCTCCAGGGGCTTGACACTTGCCCTGATTTCTGCCTAGAATGTGCTGCCCCAGGCATTTTTTTCTTCTTCTGGATTTCCATCTTTAAATTTGTCCACTCAAATGTTGTCTTTCCTGAGCCCCAGTCCGGCTGCTCACCTCGGCAGTGCTGGTCTCCCTTCTGTGGTCTTGCTTGTTGTCTGCTGTAACCAACCTTCCACTTCAGGGGGTCAGAACCGGGCAGGCGGGATGGCTGTGAGAACCCGACCTCACGATCTCTTGTCCACATGAATGAGCAGACAAATGAACTGCAGGACAATGCGTGAGCACAGACGTGCACTCAGAAACCCAGCCTCACAGTGGTGAGGCCTCCAGACCCCCCCAGGTCACAGCCGCTCATCTACACCTTTGCCCACAGCCCGGAGCTGTTATTCTCTTTGGGTTGACTCTGCCCTGAAGGGTCTTCCCATCCTCAGGAGGCTAATTCTAGACAGCCTATGGGTTTTTAACCTAAAATCATGTTAGACATTAGTCAAAATTGTTAAAATATTAAATTTATAATTTAATTCATGCCAGAGTATACTCCTGAGAGTGATGAAAAACTGAATTTGTGTGATCAAAAATAGGGAAGATAATGGCGAAAAGTCCTAAATCATGAGCCTAGAAATATATAGCAACAGCCGTATTGGGTAGCAGATCAGTATGTCATCCTCATGACTGGCTAGGCCTCAGCTGATACCAAACTGGACCGTCCCCAGAGGATGCCCAGCGGAGATGCTCCTCCCCAGACGGCTTCTCTGCCTCTAACAAGCGCTTGCCCAGTGCGCCGCGGCTGCTGTGCCTGCCAGGTGCTTCTCTAAATACGCAACAAACAGTGCCACAGGTTGGCTCCTCCGGAAGCAGTGGCTGAAGCAGAGTTTGGATGTGGGGTGCTTATCAGGGATTAATACCTCTGAGGAGAAGGCAGAGAGCCAGGAGACGCGAGCCTGTAACCTAGGCTCGGCAGCATCAGCCAACCAGCCCAGGAGCTGGAGGCAAATCCTGCCTGTCGGGGGCCCACCTTAGCCAGAACGGCCTACTCTACACACCCCTGGCTCCTAAAGCCCCATTCTGAATCTGGGAACACCTGGGGATGTGGGGAGCTTGAGGGCTTTGCCAGCCATCCTCCTGGCAGCTGAGCAGCAAGCCCTTCCTTGAACAGAATTGGGCAGTGAATCTCTTCTCAAAAAGAAACTTTGATCCTCAGA